GTTCTCTGTAAGAAGTCTAGAAAATACTTAGCTAGGAGATACCCAAGTCTCCAGTTCTCTGAGTAGACAAGGTCATGGTGGCTGTACTATTTATTTGTTTGTTTGTTTGTTTATTGATTGATTGATTGATTTTCTCAGATCCTATGGCCATGAGTCCTGAGAAAGTATCAGTGGAAGATGCTCCAGTGAAGAAGGGCTTCTGTCAAAACTCCAGGCTTCCAGGCTTCTTTGTCACTCTACTTTTATGATCAGAGCTTAGGGGTGTTCCAAGGGGGTTGGAGGGGATGACTGCGGGAGAGGATGATTCACTGTAGCATCTCTGTCACCAGGAGAAGGAATCAGGAGTATATGTTTTGCTCCTTCACATATATACACAAGAAATAAAATTGATATGTGTTCAATATCTATCTTTCTTCCTTCCTAGGCTCCAAGCTTCCAAAGCACCAAGAAGGTTCTAGGAAACTTGCCAGAAGGAAGGAGCATGCAGGGCTTTGTGACGTCTCCCAGTGATTTGGATCTGCACTCACACACCATCTGAGAAGGATGCAACTCTTGTAAGTGAGGCAGAGATTTGGTGCACGGGGGTTAACACACAGTGGATACTAAATATAGGAGGATTTAAATTTAATTGTTCACAGCCTCAAAAAGGCAGTGAAGAAGGTTGATCTTTGTTGCCACCTGCAGCCCGAAGGCTTCACTGCAAGCTGTTGGCCTCAGAAACGGGCTCCAGGACCAGATCCTGGATTGTATGGAGTTTGTGCCTTTTAGGGGCAGAGATTGGAATTTGCTTTAAGGATAGACTTTGTTTTGGCAGAATCACTAGGGAACCTTAATAGTTACGCAAATGTAAAATCCAACCAGCAATGTTATCAAATAACTCAAATGCCAATGCTTCTAAGATGTTAACTTTCCTGTTTATGCTCATTTTGTTCATTTTTGTCATGCTCATTTATGAAATGGTCGTATATTTTAGCCAAATGGTATCTAGGAAAATTTGGCTCCCATTAGAGTCTTCTTTCTCACTTTTATTTTCCTCCCTGATTCCAGATTTATACCTCCCTAAAACTGCCTTATGTTGTGGAGCCCGTGGAGTTTGTGTCAAATGTTTTGAGCCATTGTTTGTAGGGGCTATAATATAGGAGTGGGATCATGAGATGAAAATTGGGGTCAAAAGGTAAGTGTCCCTAGATTTTAAATCCTGCTTGGAATGACATATGGGTTACAGGAAACCCTGAACACATTATTCTCTTGTATAAAGTTGCTCCAGAGCTTCTTGGAATAAAGACAAAGTCCTTTATCAACAGCTGCCTAGCTGTCTAGCACATCTTGCAGGCACACATAGAGCACACATATATACACAAGAAATTAACACAAACATTAACGCATACATACAACACACAAATGTACACATGTGGACACCGGTTCACACGTGCATACATGCACACCATACATATATACGCACATGTACATGCTTATGAGCACACACATACATGTGTGCACTAACTAACACACACATGCTGTCACACTCAGGACTTCCTGAAGGCATGTGACTGTCTCCTCTGCCTGGAATATCTTGACCTGCCCCCACAGCTCCTCCTGTCCCTCACCTGGCTGGTCCCCATGGATGCCTCACTTTCTCTAAATCCTTTCCTAACCCCCTTGAATGGAACCATTTACCCTCCCCACCAGCCTGGCTCCCTGGTGCTACCAGAATGAGAGGTTACTACACTGTTTTCCAATCACTTGTTTTCTAGCTTCTGGCTTCCAACTACCGTTCACCCTGAGATGTAAATAGTGGCTGAAACATAAAGTGTGCCTCTCCCAGAAATTTACACAGTAATAGCTTTGATTGGCTGGTTTTTTTTAAGATTTTATTTATTTATTCATGACAGATACAAAGAGAAAGGCAGAAACATAGACAGAGGGAGAAGAAGGTTCCCTGTGGGGAGCTCAATGCGGGACTCGATCTTAGACCCCAGGATCATGACCTGACCAGAAGGCAGACTCTCTATCACTGAGCCACCTAGGTGTCCCTGATTGGGTGATTTTGGAATGAAACCTTTTTTGTGGTCACCAGGGGGAGGAATAATTAAAAAACAAAGTCTTGGGAGTTGGAGGAAGAACATTCCTAGCATCTCTGAACTGTATTTATCAGAAGTTACTTCCATTTCCTACTCTTAAATTCCAGTGTCAGAACATCCCATCACAATTCATAACAGAGCCCTGCAGAGTTTCAGTCCAAAGCTCCCTGAGTGCTGTTTGGAGTGTCTTCTAGTCATTCTGTAGAAAGCAAACAACAAAACGTGTTGTTTTTTATTCCTAACATCTAGTTTCCCCATACTACACGATCTACACCTTTAAAGGATGGAGACTGTGTCTCCTGAGTTTCTTGCAACCTTTTCATCTCCCAACCACTAATAAAGAATTGACATATATTAGAGGCTCAAAATGTGTATTTTTTCTTTTTTACTTAAATAGAGAAATTGATCCAATTTACCTTTCTCTTATGAACTTTGTCCACAACCATCTAGGCAAACCCAGTCCTTCTCCCATTTGTGGACCCTGTGCCAAGTTGGGTCAAATTGAGTTACTATGAGTGAAGGAGATAGGCAAATATGGGGAGGTGACAGGGGCTAGACAAACCTTGGAACCAAAGCACCAAAGCTGATCCCAGGGCAGTGCCAAACAGAAGGCAGGTGGGGGAAGTGAAGAGGAAGGTGGAGGTACTGAAGCCCTAGTAGCAGCTGGATTTGTCCAATGTTGACCTCAGGGGGTCAAGCTTAAAATCCAGTCCTGCTTTGGATGATTTTTCCAGGTCTCCTGGATAAAGTGTAACCTCCCTCACAAGGCACTCATAGCCAGGCCCTTCCTAACTTCTCTTTTTTTTTTAATTTTTTTTCCTTCCTAACTTCCCATCTTAATTTTTGACAACTCCTCAGCCACAAGCCCTGGGGGCCAGCAGGTGGTGTCCCACCATGCCCCAGAAGTACTAGGAGCTCTTTTCCATCATACCTTTCCAAATTGTTCTCTCTGCCTAGAAATGCCTATGCCCACACTCTCTGCCTGGAAAAATACTCTTTCTTTGAGACCCAGACTAAGTGCCCTTTCCTTTTGGAAGCCCTGTCCAGTCCTCTCTGCTAACCCCACCTCTGTGCCGCAGTGGGGAGCATCCACCTGGCTACCATATGGCTCTCCTTACACTGTATCTTGAACAATCCACAAGACCCAAATGATCATCCACTAATCCATTGAAGGCATTGTACTTCTGCATCATCTTTGGTGTTCTAGCAGCTACTCTGGGTACTGATGACCCATAATTGAACAGAACATGCCCTCAAAAAGCACAGAGTGGTCTCAACACATAAACACAATAGTTATGACATGGTAGCCAGGTGATAAAATAATTGGGGCAGATGCAGGCCCTGGAGAAGCAGGGTAAGAATCTAAACTCATTAAAGGTATAAGGTCAACATGTCTCTCCTCTGCTAAATCCATTCCCATAGGGGTACCTGGGTGGCTCAGTGGTTGAGCATCTGCCTTTGGCTCAGGTCATGATCCTGGGTCCTTGGATCAAGTCATGCATCAGACTCCCCACGGGGAGGCTGCTTCTCCCTCTGCCTATGTATCTGCCCCTCTTTCTGTGTCTCTCATGAATGAATAAATAAAATCTTTAAAAAATAAATTAAAAAATAAAATCTTTCACATAGCTACCTTTCACACTTAAAGATAAACTGAAGCCCTCACTTTGCCTTTAAGACCTCCATGACCCAGTCCCTGCTGGTCTTGCTCACCTCCTAATTTTCTCCCTTGTTCCCCAGGCTCCAACACCCCTGTCCCCCACTGCTATTTGAACACACCAAGCCACTTCTGTCTAGGAGCCTGTATGCTTGCCACTCCTCTGCCCCATCACTCCCAGTCCCCCTCGCTCTTGTCCTTCAGCCTCAGCTCAGATGTCACCGCCTTAAAAAGAGTCACTGCCCCAGACCACCTTCTCCAATGTTACATCATTCAATACCTACCACCCTTACCCTCTATCATACAAACTGTTCTTATTTGTTTAGTGTTTCTCCCACTCAATGATCAGCTCCAAAGAAGCTGGTTCTTGTTTGCCCTCTTTCCCCCATCTCCCAGAATAGGAGTGGAATAAAAATGTGTGGAACAACATTGGGGTCAGATGGGCCCGGATATCTTGGGTTTCATCCTGTACAGCTCATGCAACCTTCAGCAAGTTATTTCACCCCTGCTGGTTCAGCGTCCTCATCTGTCAAAGGGATACAAATGCTCACCTTGCAGGGAAGCTCTGAAGGTGAAGACAGCCTGTCCGTGGCTACCTTGGCCCCTGGTGCATGTTGGATGGACGCTGAGTAGTTACACAGGAGAGAAAGAGTGCCAGCAGCCCATCACTCTGAGCACTGACACCATGGACTCTCTGCCCACGTCTGTGCCTGACCCCACATTGTCTGTGAAATGGAGAGGGATCCTGGCTCTGAGGACAAATGTCAGTCCTGACTGCAAACTCTCAGCCAAGTCACAACCCTGTATTGCTGGCTGGAACAAGTCAGCTCGGCCCTGCTCCACTACAGCCTTAAACTCAACACACTCAGGACAAACTCGCCATCTCTCCCTCGCTGATCCTCCTTGCTCCTCACAAGTCAAAACTAGCAGACAACCAGGGGCACTGATCAATCGGTTGAATGACTGATTAACTATGAAATATCTGATAGGCAAAGCACAAGACTTAAACTAAATCTACTAAAAATTATGAGCAGCCCAAGACTTTGTCCACCTGTGGACAGAGGGGAAGAGCTGGGTTCTGCCTGGACTTCTGGCTGTTTCTGGAAGTTGTAGAGCAGATGGGCTGCAGGAGAAGCTGTGGCAACCTTCCAAGAATTCACTGAGTGACTCATTCCCCTTTCAGTAAGCACTGTTCACAGGGATATACTAAGACCTTGTACTATTTTCCTATTGTTACTATAACAAATTACCACAAACGCAGTGGCTTAAAACAACACAAATTTATTATTTTAAAGTTCTGGAGGTCAGATGTCTGAAATGGGTTTCAGTGGACTAAAATTCAGTTGTTTCTCCTAGAATCTCTAGGGTATAATCCTTTCCTGTGCCTTTTCTGGCTTCTGGAAGCCACCTGCATTCACTGGCTGGTAGCCCTCATCCCCTACATTTGAAATTAGCAGCACAGTATTTTCCATTCTCTGGTTCTCACCCTCCTTCCTCACTCTTAGAAGGACCCTTGTGGTTATACTGGGACCACTGTGATAATCCAGATGCTCTCCCCATCTCAAGATCCTTACCTTCATCACATTTGCAAAGTCCCTTTTGCCTTGTAAGGTAACATTCACAGATTCTGGGGATTAGGATGTGGACATCTTTAGGAGGGGCATAATTTTCCTACCACAGATCCTGAGCAGGACGAGCTTGGCGCGGGGGCATTGGCCTGGAGCTCAGCCTCCTGCCTCCCTACCGACTCTGCTCAAAGTAGAATTCAGTGCGGGCCAATGGCTCACTCTCCTTGACAAGTTGTACTGGCTGCTGGGGCTCAGCTGGGCCACAGAGAAACCAGCCAGGCCAGGCAGCAGCCTCAAGCTTGAAGGCTGAGCCTGAGCTTCTCTGGAAGAAGGTGAAGCGTGTGGCCTGTTCACCACCCTTGTACAGGTCCTCGATGTTCACATCCTGTGGGGGCAAGATGGCTGCTGCAGGATGAGGCCACTGGTTGAGGTGTCAGCCCTCGAGGCCTCTGGGGGTTGGCCAATGAGGGACTTTACAGGGAGGGTCCATACCCAGGGAAGGGCCTTCTGCAGGTTCTGGAGGGCAGGGGTCTTGGCACTAGGTGCAGAGGGAAGGGGAGGAATGTGTGGACCTGGCCGGGAGTCCCACAGATGGGTGCAGAGATGTCAGAGCATCCTGGAAGCCAGGCCATGCCTTCAGGGTCCCCCAGAAGAAGGTGTGGTTTCTCACCTCCAGCTGCAGGGTAGGCCCCTCTCCTGTCTCCACGCATGCTAGGCAGCGACTGCCTCCCTGGATCCCCAGGAAGATGGGGACTTTGGTACGGTCCAGGCCTCTGTTGGGAAGTATGCAGATCTTCTCTGGGAGGAAAGAAAGAAGAGAGCCAGGAGATAAAAGGACCCAGATTGTAAGTTCTCAGTGAGCTAAGCCTGGGTAGGAAAAAACTGGGCCAGGGCACACCTGGCTTGACCCCTGCAAGCAAGCTGCCAGGCAGGCTGGGACCCCTGCAGCGGTCATGACACTCTTAAAAGGAGAGGTCCTCAGCTGCTCCCTGCCTCTTCTTACTGTCACCAGGGCAGGAGGGAAGAGGAAAGCCAGTGGCAGGTGGAGCATGAATGTGTCCAAGGGGGTGGAGGCCCCAGATGCTCACCTGCACAGCAGTTGTCCACATTGGGATCTCCCACCAGGAGCTGGTCACCTCTTAAGTATAGAGCCTTCTGATCTGCATCCTTAATTCTGGAACAAGATGGTAGAGCTGATAGCCTGCTCCATTTAGGCAGCACCAAGCCCCAAAGTCACCCCCACACTCTGAAGGATTACACTGAGCATTTAGGTGTTCTTCTCTCCTACAAGAAGAAGTAGGTGTATGACTCCACCCAAGAGCAGGTGAAACCAGGTCAGCCTTAAGGCAAGGGAAGGTCTTCTGGAACTCATGATTCTCAGAGGCTCCCTTTACCAGCGTTAGCCTCTGTCAGGGCCCTGGGCTAGCGGGGAAAGCCAGTATCTTCTCACTATTGGGTAGACAGTTTTCCTGATTATGCTAGCCCCTTTTTCATGCCCTTCCTGAGAAATTTCCTAATGAGGCTCAGATGTCAAATCTAGGATAAAGTGACTCTTTTCCCAGATTTTCTGGGCCTGACCCAATTTTTCACAAATGTTTATTCCCTTCAAGGAAGGAATTAATTGAGTGTATAATAAAGTGTGGTTTGTGGGGCACCTGGGTGACTCAGTCAGTTAAACACCCAATTCTAGATTTTATCTCTGGTCTTGATCTCAGGGTCATAAGCTCAAGCCCCATGTCAAGCTCTGTGCTTAGCACAGAGTCTGCTTGAAATCCTCTCTCCCTCTCTCTCTACTCCTTCCCTTCGAGTGTGTGCTTCCTCTCTCAAATAAATAAAATCTTTTAAAAAATAAATGTGGTTTGCTCTTCAAATATTTTAAAGGCTTTCTTGTAGAGTAAAATCCACAAATCAGAAAAAAAAATCTTACGTGACAGTAGGTTTGCCAACATGGCCACCTTGTTCCATGCAAGGTGTGTTCTAGGGTGAGCCCGTGCTATGGGTGCCAAATTTAGGAGGTCAGTGAAGACCTGGAGGGTGTGATTACAGTCATTTGGGGTTGGCAGTGGTTCCAATGATCGGCATGGGAGGGTAAATACATGCTGGGGAGCAGGGAGGGAACTGTGGTTGAATGTACACAACATCAAAGTCATGCAGGTTATTAGCTCGCAGGTTATTAGCTCGGTCACTTGGCTGTCTTCAAAATGTCTGTCAGTCACTCTCAGGACCTTGGGAGCCTACCTCCAAGGGCAGAACCTCTGGGCCAATGCCATCGCCTCCAGGAGATTTTTCTCTCTCAATAACAGCTAATTATAATATCCTTAGCTAATGACTGTATGTATTTAAAGTAGGTTCACTTGTACAATAAAAATAAATTTCTGAAAAGAGCTTGGACTTGCCAATTGGCATTCCCTTTCCAACCTGGGCAATGAGGACTTGTGGGTAACTCATCTGCCAGCAACATTCTATTTGGAGACCAGAACCCAAGTTAGATATGCCAAAGTGCTGACACCTGTTTTGTCATTTGGGTGCTTCACACACATGTGTCTTGCCATCCTAGGCACGTTGAAACTTCCTGGAGGCCCCAGCTGGCCCCCTCATGTCTAGCACAGGGCAGGCCCATGGTGGAATTAAGGAAATGCAGCCCAGAAGTCAGTCCTGTTTTATTTGTGTTATGTCTCATCTTGTTTCTCAAAGAGCTGGAGGCAGTTTACAATGAAAAAATCACAGGCAATAAAATATACATTCTAATTAGTGTCTCGAATGTCAAATGAGGTAAAAGTGACAGCTGGGAGTGCAGACAGGGAATAAAGGCCACGGAGGCTGACATATAAAGATGCTGTCACTGAGATTCAAAATTGTCTCTGAGTTCCTGGAGAGAGGAGGACGGAGCAGCACAGAGGGTGAATCCTGGCTCTCTGTGACATGAGGTAATTTATGTAACCTCTTTGAGCTTTGGTTTGAATGGACTCAGTCACGTTTCTCCTGTAGGTTACTTGGGATGGAGGCAAGGCAGTAGAAGGGCTGGCATCTTGAGGATGCTCAGGAAACAGAGCTATTGTTATGATCATGATGAATAAGCTTAGTTATGGGTCACTTGAGATTTTTTGGGTGAGAAGGAGCTGCATCCCTCTCCTTAGCCTTCTTTCCCTCTTCCCATGTCATCCCTAAACTCCTGGTTCATAAAGGAAAGACTCCAGGAAGACTTACGTGTAGTATCGTGTCATGGGGAGGGAGCACATTCCTGTGATTGTGGGTGACTGGTCCTTGCTGAGGGAGAAGGAGAGAAGGGCTGTCAGAGAAGGAGGGTATGTAGAGCTGGGGGCAGGCCCCCTAGGGGTTCCCAAATCATTAAATCACAAACTGGAAAGATCTCACTAGGCTGCTTATCTATAATTGGCCTGCTGGAATCCACCATGGTCTCTCCAGCCCAGCAAGCTCCAGGCAGCTCTGCCTCACCCTCCTCTGGGGCCATCTGGCAGGGGGGTGAGCCCATGACATGTGCATGGTGCTAGCTTGGGGAAACCAAAGAATGGGTTCCTCAAAGATTTTAGACAGGAGTACTTCCTGGGAATGAAACTGAGATGGCATGTGCTCCAGCCTCACAGTTTGAGGATGAGCTGAGCTCAAACCATGTCCCACTGCCCAGCCTGGTCCTAGAGTCACCACACTACTGCCCTCCCTGACCTGAGCTGAGGGAATAGCAGCGCTACCAGGAGGCATCACCAGCCTGCTGCTGGAGGGTGTAGAATCTCCCTGCAGGGTTAGCCTCATTCCTAGAGATTGGAACATTCTGCCAAGACTGTGAAAGAGAGACCACCCACCCCACCCCACCCCCATTCTGCTCCAGATGTAAAACAGGACAGGCCTGAAATATAGAGACTTGTGTGTTTGAGGATGAGTGATCTAAATTGAATCTGGTATCCTATTATTAATCCCGGGCCACAAAGCTTCACACGGCTCTCCTCTCCTTCTGGTTGGATCGTCCTGCCCTAGAGCTTTTCCCCAAAATGACCACCTTCAGAAAGGCCATTCCAGAACCTAGCAAGGAAGAAAACCCAGAGTCAATCAGGGCAAAAGAGTGGTAGCCATTAAAAGTAGCCCAGAAAAGTAAATGCAAGGGCGGCTGGGGCTGAGGTATACACAGTAGGTCTGATTCTCACTGAGTAAGAAGAGGAAATAGAAAAAAAAAGAGGGGATAGTAGAAACTAAGAAGGAACAGGGGAAAGAATGGGAACAGAAAGGAGCAGGGCTTAGAGGGAGAGAGTTTGACATGGAGGGACATTTTGAAAAGTGGGTGAGGAGGAACAGGTTGATGATGACAGCAGGGCTTCTGGCCACGCCAGTAGCACTGAGCTCCAGTGTCCAGTGTTAGTACTGGATCTGCCACTTAGTCACTGTGGATAAGTCATTTTCCATCCCTGGACTTGGAGGTGGGCATTTAAGTTTTGGTGAGAGCAAAGAATAACAGGGTGCCTCTGGGAGTGCAAATTCTGAAGGATGTCGGTGACATGATTAAAATCTTAAAACATTCTACACATACTTTAATATCACCTGTTCCCCTTATTCTAAGGAAAAGTAATGGATTGTCCAAATGTTTAATTATAAAGATGTTCACTTTATTCAGACAGTAGTAAGAAGTTGGAAATAAGCTAAACGTCCAATAACACATCATTAGTTTAAAAAATGGTGGCAAATTAAATAAATAAGAAACATGTACATTAAAGATGATATTGTGGAGGAACATTTTACAACATCAAAATATGGGAAGTGGAAAATTCAGGTTATAAAGAATGTGTGCCTTATGATCCCATTTAAAGGCACACACACTGAGAGATACACCCAGGGATAAAGACTGTCCATATTGTTACACCACCTGTCTTCAGCAGGCAGAAATATGAGTGATTTCCTTTTAAACATGTCTTAACATCTTTACTATATGAACATGAATTTCCTTTGCAGTATAAAGTAGGTTTTCATTTTTTTCAAAAATTGAAATCCTCAAAGAGTTAAAAATAGAGCTACCCTACGACCCAGCAATTGTACTGCTGGGGATTTATTCCAAAGACACAGATGCAGTGAAAAACTGAGACTCCTGCACCCCAATGTTTATAGCAGCAATGTCCACAATAGCCAAACTGTGGAAGGAGCCTCGGTGTCCATCGAAAGATGAATGGATAAAGAAACTGTGGTCTATGTATACAATGGAATATTACTCAGCCATTAGAAATGACAAAAACCCACCATTTGCTTCGACATGGTTAGAACTGGAGGGTATTATGCTGAGTGAAGTAAGTCAATTGGAGAAGGACAAACATTATATGGTCTCATTCATTTTGGGGAGTATAAAAAGTAGTGAAAGAGAATAAAGGGGAAAGGAGAGAAAATGAGTGGGAAAAATCAGTGAGGGGGACAGAACATGAGAGGCACCTAACTCTGGGAAACGAACAAGGGGTAGCGGAAGGGGAGGTGGGCGGGGGGATGGGGTGACAGGGTGATGGACACTGAGGGGGGGCACTTGACAGGATGAGCACTGGGTGTTATGCTATATATTGGCAAATCAAACTCCAATAAAAAAAATTGAAATCAGTTAAAGTCATTGGCTCCCAAACACGCCTGCCCACCAATCACCTGGGGGCCTCTGGATAAGTACTATTTCCTGGGCTGAAGGTTCTGATTCGCCAGTGTTTGAAGTGACTCCATGACTAGCCAGGCTTGGGAACTGGTACACCATCTCGGTTTTTCTCACTCTCCAGTAGAACATATAAATCACCTGCCGATTTTGGTTCCCTAGGTCTAGGCTGGAACCTGAGACTGTGCATTTCAAACATGCAACCAAGTGATATGAACACCACTGGTCCCTGGCCACACTTTGAGTGGCAAAGGACTAGTAAGGTGGACAGGCTGCCAGCAGCGTAGCCTCAGTGCAAGCACTCTTAATGCTGTGCCATCTTTCAACTGAACCACTGGGGCTCCTTTGGTTGTAGTTGCAAAAATATGGGAAGCCTAGTAGTTTTGCCAAAGTCTGGCTGGGACAGATCAAGTGGAGAGCTCTGTGTGTGAGGATGAGGACTCCCACTCTTGGTCACTGTCAGCACATGGGGGGGGGTGGGCAGAAATTCAGTGCTGGTCCAGTCCAGCTGGATCCCTGGGGGCCCCAGAAGCCTTTTGTCCCGGCCTAACCCTAAATCCCAGTATTTTTCTCAAAGACTCCCATATCAGCCACCCCCTACCTGGGTTCTGGCTAGACTGTGATGAGGTGAATATGAGCGAGAAGCTGTCCTCTAGTCCATCAGAGAGCCTGGGGTTCTGGTGCTGAGTGTCTGCCATGATCTCTCTCAATGCACCACACACTCCATACCCTAAGCTTTCCCTTCCCTATCATCACCAAGTGACCTTTCCCTGGACTTTGGCCTGTAGTCCTCCCTGGACACCACTTCTGCCTGTCTCAGACTTCATCAACCCACATGCCCTGAGTCAAAAACAATTATCCAAGTAGTGCTAGGCTTTCTCCATCACACCCTCTCCTCTTTCTCCTATACATTTTCTATGTGGACTATGTTCTCTTCAAACCCATATGTTAACTTCTGTGGAGCCAAATCTAAAGACTCTTTTGATTCCTCTAATATTTGGCTTCTGCCTCTTCAGAGCTCTTGACATTGATTGATTCATTCACACCTCCATTTTCCCCTTCTCAGGTTCATGTAGATTCTCCCTTCCATTTGGCGGTGTTCCTAAGGTGGAAGTCACAAGTCTAAGTCCTAAGCACTTTCTCTTGTACTGCATGGATTTGCCATTCACCCATTTCCACAGCTGCAGTGATCATCTTGGTCTAATGCTTCCCAAGCCCCGACTGAACATGCTATTTTATCTCCAACAGTCTATAGGACACCTACCTTTGGATATCTTGCCATCACACTCAACCAAACAGATCTGAAATCAAATCAATCTTTTCCTCCTCTCAGCCCATTCATCTCCCCCCTTTTCCTTACTCTAAGTCTGATTTACCAACAAGTACTGATAAGTTATTCTTTAAAACGTAATTTTGTCAGGGCACCTGGGTGGCTCAGTGGGTGAGCATCTGCCTTCAGCTCAGATCATGATCCCAGGGTCCTGGGATCATGTCCCACATCAGGCTTACCATGGTGAGCCTGCTTCTCCCTCTGCCTGTGTCTCTGCCTCCCTCCCTCTCTCTCTCTCTCTCTCTGTCTCTCATGAATAAATAAGATCTTTTTTAAAAAATGTAATTTTGTCTCCTTTTTAAAGATTTAGTTATGAGAGAGAGAGAGAGAGAGAGAGCATGAGCAGGAGGAGCAGAGGGAGAGAGAGAGAATCTCAAGCACACTCCATGCTAAGCATGGAGCCCGATGTAGGGCTCAATCCCACCACCCAGAAATTATGACCTGAGCTGAAATAGTCATATGCTTAACCAACTGTGCCACCTAGGTGCCCCTAAAATGTAACTTTGTCTTCCTAATAGCCACTGGATCTGTGCCTGGATTCCTGGTTTTTCTACCTTTAATCTAGTCCAACCTATGTGAGGTACCTGGACCTATATTCTAGGTATTGCTTTCACAACATCCCCACCCCGCTCTAGAATCTACAGTGGCTGCCCATTTCATCATCATTTGGCCCTAATTCACTTTTATGAGTGTATTTACTTTTCTGTGGACACTAAACCACCCCTCTGGCACGTGCCTTCTTCTTATCTTTCCAGTGGGCATGTTCAGAGTTGTCTTTGATTTCCATGCCTCAAAAGCCATCCCCCATCCTTGCCATCCATTCAGGTCTTTTGGCATTAGAGCCACTGGATATGGTATCATTTATCCATAGATTGAGTCTCTGGCTCTACCAAATTAATTATCAGGTCAGAGTAAGAGCTCAGATATATGAAGTTATGTCACTTAACCTCCAGTTCTCAGTTTCAGCATCTATAAAATCATAGAATTAGAGTCTGTGGTTATTAAGATTCTTTCCAAATCAACCTATCTATGATTCCATGACTCAGAGTTTAATGAATCTTTACTCTTGTAACCCTACTCTGAACTCCTATTAAATTTCACTGTATTGTGTATTGTTCTATATACAGACATTTTTTCCCTTATAAAAGTTAACAATATCTTGATCCATGAAGGGTAGCATGTATCTCCTTCCCACCACCATGACACACACATATACTTACAACCAGGACATAGAAACACACATGGGAGATTTCAACCGCAGTTGGCTTCTAGACCTAAATCTGCTACCAATTTGTCTTGCCACCTTAGAAAATCCCCTGTAGTCCCTGGGCCTCCCACTTGTTATTACAATGAGAGGCTAGGCAAGGTCAGTATTTTTCAAAACTAAGTTTCACAATGGAAATTTACAAGGAAACCTAATGAAAGTAAAAAAGATAAAGGGGGCTTGCTTTTGCTGAAACAGAGCATGATGGTGACACTAGAACCCTGCGAACACTGTACTGCCCTTGACCACTAAAGCAAGCACCGGGGCATACCCCAAGCCTCACCACACACTTGAATTCCACTGGCCTAGCTATCTGAAATTACTTTTTAAAATCTTATCTAAGTATTTTTAAATCTTGACTTGGCTTAACCAATGCCTTCTCTCAAATTCTTTCTATGTGCTCCCAGACTTATTTAGCATCCCATGAAATTCTGTGGAGGGGGTACCTTGTTATCTAGAGAGCTTGCCAAGAGGCATTAAGGGAGGGGACGTATCAGAAATATTGACAGAAAGGAGAAGGAAAATGAGAAGGAGAGATAGAATACTGCCTATCAACCACTGACCTGCAATCCTGGAAGCCTGGAATGTCCAACTGATTTCTCCAGGGCATCTGCCCTGAGTTTATACTGTCTGGTCAGGGTGGGTCAAGCCTGCAGCAATCTTTATAATTGGCTCTAGGATGGGAAAGAAGAGACTAGAAATTTCACAATGCCTTTAGTACAGAGTGGATAATAAGAAGGTGGGGGCATTAATGAGTGTTTGTTGAAGGGGGAGAGACTCATCCATTAAGCCCTAGCCGAAGCCAGTCGCTGGGCCCCTGCTCATAGCTACTGTCATTGACATTGTTATTGGTGGTTTCAATAGCCAGGTAAACAGTCTTGGGGTCAGATGTCTTCATATTACCTTCCCTTTGGTGCCCCCATGGGGCTCTGTCCTAGACTTAGAGAGGTAGAGGAGGTAAGAGGGGATGCATCTGAGGGGCCCAAAGACAGAGCAATGTTTGGTGTTTTAAGCCAGGCTGCAGCCAGTGAGATAAGAGAGGGGACTGATGGCATTACATGTATGGCCCAGTTTGGAAAGAGGGGAGGGAAGCTTTTCAACAGGTCCTATATTAGCTGATACTAGGTTGATGACACAGAACATCTAAGGAAACCCACCTACAGAGGACATTGACTTTAGATACATGCTGGGACTGAGCAGCCATCACATGCCCTGAAGTGCTTGAACACATGACAGTGTGAGCAGGGCAGAAGTAAAGAGAATACTCAAGCCTCTAATCAACATTACTTAACTCAGTCCATCCATCCACCTATCTGTCCAATCAACCAACCATCCACCCATCCACCCATCTATCTATTCACAAGGGTCAGAGAAGCTTAGCATAGTGTTCTCTGGGGACCATCTGCCTTATGGTAATTTTCACTCTAAAGTCATTTGCACAGTTCCACAAAGGGCCTGGTAAGAAAGTAGGAGAGATCCTCATGCAGATGCTTAAAGAGTGACAGATAAGAAAAGATATGGGAGGGAGGGGACCCAATTTCTGTTTCTTAAGGCCAACAGTCATTCTTCACCCCTCTCCCAATCTCTTATCTCTCTGGAAAGGGCCAACGCATGGGGTATTATGCCGGGTAATCAATGAGCATTTACTGAGCATTTCACTGCTGTGTGACAAAGACATGCAGTGCATGGTCCCTGTTGTTAGATAGCTTTACGGTTCAGCTGGGGAGCTAAGTCATAAACACTTAAAAAGATAATTAAGAAGGCCAGACTCTAATCTGCGGGACAAGAGCACATTGGAAACAATAGAGGCAGAGAATCTCCTTGAATAAAAAAAAAAATCCCAGAATTGAAAGGGCCTTAGTCATGGCATATAGGCTTCCTCCAAATGGAGAAACCTGTGCGATGGCACCCCTGAGACATAGTTAATCAGGCTCTTCTTCAACACTTCCGCAACCTCTTAAAGGAACCCTAACAGTGTATGTGGTCCTTGCGTTTAAAATTTTTGGGTCACACATAATTTCTACTCATCAGTCCTGCTTGTGTCTCCTGGAATTACACAGAACAAGTTTATTTTTCTATGAGGCAGAGCTTTGAGTGTTTGACTGGAGCTCTCTGTGTTTTGCTTCTCCAGGATAAAGAGCTTCAGCATCCTAGCCTCTGCCCTTAGGATTTGGTCTTAGGACACTCTCTATTACTCAGAACACACTTGTAGTCCTCAATGCCTATAACTGGCACCAATGCCATAGGATGTGGGCATTTCACCTCTATAAATACAGGCCAATCTGGGGGCTTATACTGAAATTGAAGAAATCTAAAACCACTATGTCTCTTTCAAAAAAAGAGTCATGATGCCAGGGTCCCCTAGCCTATACATTCCTAAAGACAGCATTTAATACTCCTTCCTTTTCTATGGATTCATATCAGGTTATCTCTGCTGAAACCATTTTGAACTCTAACATCCTACAAATGATGAATCAATTACTTTAGGCTGGAGAAAGCTTCCAGGTTGAGGTGAAATTTCAGCTGCTCCTTGAAAGGTGGGCCCATTTAAATGGGTGGAGGAGAGAGAAAGATATTCCAGGGTGGAAGAATAGTTTCCACATTCTGTACTCACTGATTTCCAGTTATTTGTCAAACATTATTTGAGGTGCTTAGAGACAAATTGATACAGCCTTGACCTTGAGGTCATTTCAGGGGCCATAGAAGTTGGCATAGCAATGTAGCACAGAGTAGATGACCAGAGATCTTAATTCAGCAAAGCCTTCTTGGAGGAGATGATGATATGAGACTATGAATGGGCCTGTGGGCAAAGAAAGAGTGTGAACTGGATCTGTAGAAACAAGCTTGATGCCCGGAGCTCATGTTCTTGATACTTCTGAGAGGTCTGTGATACAACTTATGCTGTCTGCTACCTGAAGGCTTTGGCGGCATCTGGGTCTCAGCAGCTCCACGGAGACAGACCCTTATGGTCTGGCCACCTCCTTGCTAGTGCCTCAGCAGAATCTGAACCTGCCAAGCTTGTCTGACTGGTGAGGTGCAGGAAGAATGCCTGGGGCTCAGATTTAGACCTCTCCTCTGGCTTCTGGTCTGATCCCCTAGAGTTTAGAAGGTAGGGGTGCTGGAGTCACAGTCCTTGGCATGTCGGACTGGAAGTGCAAAGGTAATCAAGGAGGAACTAAATCTTGCAGGAACAGAGAATATTCAACAAATTTAGTATGATCAGCTTTTAAACAGAATGTTTGGGGAAATAAAAGGTCAGATGTTAATTGTGAGAAGGGAAATGAAAATATTGGAGAAAATTGTAACCATAATAAAATAAGTGTATTTCTTTCTCTTTCCCTCTGTATTAGTTATCAATTGCTGTATAACAAATGACCCCAAAATTTAATTGAGGAGTCTGAGTGGCTCAGTCAGTTAAGCGTCCAACTCTTGGTTTCAGCTCAGGTCATGATTTCAGGGTTATGAGATCAAGCCTTGTGTCAGACTCCATGCTCACTGGGAGTCTGCCTGAGATTCTCTATCTCCCTCTGTCCTCCCCACTTGTGTGTGCCTGTGCTCTGTCTCTCTCTCTCTCAAAAGATGAATAAATCTTAAAAAAAAAACCTTAGCAACTGAAAGCAAAAACATTTATTTTCTCAGTTTCTGAGAGTTGGGGATCTAGACCCGCTTAGCAGGGTGGTTCTGCTTCAGAGTTTCTCTTGAGGTGGCAATCAAGTTGTCGGCCAGAGTTGTATCATCTGAAGGCCTGACTGGGGCTGGGGAAGCTGCTTCCAAATGCGCTTATGTGGCAGTTGGTAGGAGGCTTCATTTTCCAACACATGGGTCTCTTTATAGGGCTGCTTATGAGATGGCAGCTGGCTTCCCCCAGAGCAAGTAAACAAAGACAGAAAACAAGATAGAGGCTGCAGAGTCTTTTGTAATCTAATCTCAAAAGTGGCATAATATTACTTCTGCCACATTCTGTTGGTCACAGAGAAAATGTGGGTACAATGTGGGAAGAGACACACAATGTGAGATGGGATCAGCAACGGCTGTGTTAATGTCATAGGGCCACCACAACCAATTACCACACAGCTGGTGGTTCAAAACAATAGAAATTTGTTCTCTCACAGTTCAGGAGACTAGAAGGCCATCCTCCCTCTGAAGGCTTTGGGGAAAAATTCTTCCTTGCCTCTTCCTAGCTTCTGGCAGTTGCCTCAATCATGGCATTTCTTGCCTTATTGCAGTGAAAGTACAATATCTGCCTCCATCTTCACATGGCCTTCCTGGTCTCTGTGTGCCTACGTGTCTTCTCCTCTTCTTGCACATGCAGTCATGTTGGATTTAGAGCCTACCCGAATACAGCGGGACCTCTTAACTAATTGTATCTGCAAAGAACCTAATTCCAAATAATGTCACAGTCTAAGGTTTCCAGAAGGAAATAAATTTCAACCAGCACAGGATCCTTTGGAGGCTGAAACCCACACCTTGCAATCTTAGGGAGCTGTGACCACTCTAGGCCCAGGATTGTTCTTTCTATAAATTCCTTCTCCAGGAGATTTCAACCATGCTAACTCATCATATTCTCTTTCTTTGCAGGTTTGAGGAGATCTATGTTCTGATTCTTGCTTCTGCTGACCAGCAGAGTTCAATTCAATTTGAATTTCACTCAGGGAGTGCCAAGGATGGTCACAAATATTGTCTGCTCTGTTTTCCCCAAGATTAACTTATTTATTACACAAGGAGTCCATCTTCATCATGGAAGAATTAGAAAATGCAAATAAATAAAAGAACAAAAAGAAAAGTCACCGGTAATTGCTAAATTGCTATTGCTAAAATTGAAGTAAACTCTTTCAGACCTCTATGCAGACATATATAGATAGATATTTTTAAATTAAAATGAAATTACAAGATATGCTACTTTGTAATTTGCTCTTCTCACTTAGAATGCCACGAGCAACTTTTTATGGGAATAGATACCAGTATCTTGGATTTTAATGGTACCTCAGGCTTCAAAAGGTAATGCCTGGACATTTTTCAGCCTTCTGAGCTGGAGTCATTCCTCGGACATCACCACCTTCTCCTGCCATGGCTAGAGCACGAGGGTTGACATGGAAAAGATAGAATATGATGGCAGCTGAGTTTTAAGGAAGAGGGATGCGGCTGGGCCTTGGGTCCCTAACTCTATGACCTCCCTATTCTGCATACTGGTGGATGACAGGACTTCATGTGAGCAGCTGGTGGCCCTAATAGGCTCACCTTGGGATGGGCTGGCCTGTGGGGCTCCGGACTACTGGGTAAGTTACCATGAAGCATGAAGGATTTCCACAATTCCCCCAACCCTGACCCCTTAGGAACCTTTTTATGTAATTTCCAATTCATCTTGAGTGGTTTTTGCAAGATTCCACACAAGTAGCACCACTCAACAGGGGAAGAAAATGTGGACAAAGCCCCAAATCTCAGAAGGATTTACCTAAACTGGGAATCAAAAAGGAGAGTGGCCGAGTGCCAGCCAGAGGTGAGGCCCTGAGAGCAGATGGTGGGTGGCTGCCATCAGTGTCTTCCTCCACCTCTGCCCCACCTGAGCTGCCTCTGCTCAGGTAGGTTCTGAGGGATGCATTGCCCTAGTCACACTGCTGGAAGTAGAAGTCTGTGATGGGGTTGTCCCAGCTGGCATCCTCTGAGAGCTGGGTAAGTCTGAGAGGCTGGTCTGCTTCAGGCACGGTGCAGAGGAACCAGCCTGGATAGGCAGCTGACTCAAAGCTGGAGGTGAGCCCCGTGTCCCGCCGGTAGAAGGTGAAGCTCTTGGATTCCTTGGCACCAAGGTAGAGTTCCATGATGTTTACTGGCTGTGAGCAGAGGGGCAGGTGAGGGGAAGGAGTGGAGGAGGCAGGAGAACTGGGCTGGGGGCATGGAAAGGCAGGGCTGCAATCACAGAACCCTGTGAGGGAGAGGAGCTCAGGGCCCAGGATGCATGGCCCAGTGGCTTCAGCATCTGCTGGCTTATGAGGTCAGATAGCAAGGAAGCCCCCACAGGACTCACCTCTAGTTTCAGAGTTGGTTCCTGCCCTGTCCCACACGACAGGCACTGGCTTCCTCCCTGGACGCCCAGGATGACTGGAGACAGCTTGGCATCCAGAGACCGGTTGGGGACAACACTGATCTCCTCACCTAGAGAAAGGAAGCCATATTCAGGGGAATCTTCCCCTACATCGTGGACTTTGGAGAGCAAGACCTGCATGAGACATCCTGTCCCTAGACTGGGAAAAGGGAAGCTTGTTAGCCGCTGTCATCTAGGGAAGGGTGGTCTCTTGCCAACTGGCCCAATGACATTGAGGCATGTAAGGACATTGTACCATATTCCCATCCCTAGGCCCATCCCCTTATCCAGGTTCAAACCTTCAAGCCTTTTGTAAGCTCTAGGGAAGATCTGGCCATTTCCTTTAATGCCTTTTGCCCCTCTGGCCTTGTTTTGGAAACTTGATTTGGTAAGACTCTCATCAGATTTATTCAGACATATTTATACCTTCTGTGATATTCCTGAGAACAAGAGGGTCTCCTTCTTCTCTGTACCATCCCCCACCACACATACAAACACATACACATTCACACATACATATATGCATGCATACACACATACACACACGTACACACACAGCCTGGCAGGAGTATCTGCCTGGCTCCACAGCCCAGTAAAGGTGTCCCAAGTGGGCAGGTATGTGCTATTTTAGAAACAAAACCTGTCATAGTGTATGGGGCAGAAGAAGTAAGCACGAAGCCAGATGGTACCACCTGCTATCTGGGTTGCATCACTCTGAGTAACCGAGAATCCCCACAGAGCAGAGGGAACCCTGTGTAAAGGGGTGGAAAGTCACTCTCACATGGGAATAAAGGCCTAGAGGCCTGTTTCAGATCTCTCCTCAGCACTGGGTCCCAGGAAAAGGAAGGTTTGGCCTAAGTCCACCTATGAGGGAAGAACAAAGCATTCATCCTGGAAAATATTCACACGTTTGCATAGAGGCTTCAGGTGGCACTGGGGCATGTGTCCTCACTTTGCTACAAGGTATAGTACTTTAATTGTCCTGCTTTTATGATGTCCCCTCTACTGTGTCAGGTCTGGGATCTGTAGGTCTGTGCCAGTTTGCATAGCTATTCTAAGCCCTCTTCAGGCCCCCTCCTCTCAGTGTATAGACACCTAGGGATGTAGGGTAATTTTTTGCCACCAACCTTTGATGACCTTCCCTGCATGTAGCCCTCCAGCTAGAAGCTGATTCTCATGCAGATAGAGTACCTTCAGTGCTGCATCCTTCATTCTGAAACATCAAGACACTTAGTTAGGTGAGGGATAGGTGTTCGTTCAGGCTGGCTGGGCTCTACAGAGTCCCCCAGTATCAGGCATTGTCTCTGTCTCCTCCCACTGTGCCAGAAGTAACTGCCCAACCTTCTCTGCCAGCCCTGCTGGGCTCATACCCTACCAATGAGATAATAACACAGCCTCCCATCTGACTCTTGATTTTGCTCCTTCACCTTATTCCATCTTTTCTACACCAACCAATATTCTCCATGTGTGGACTGTGAGTCAGAGTGCTGGGTTCTTGTCTGGCTGTGCCACCATTGCTGCTGAGTCACAACAGATAAGCTGCTTGCTCTCTCTGGGCCTGAGTCTCCCCATTGCTAAATTAAGACAATGGGTTAGATAATCCCCAAGCCTCTTCCAGATGAAAATCTGATTCTTCAATCATTTTTGAAGACATGAAGACACATTTACTTCCATTTATTAAGTGAGGAATATCTTTACATTTAAAATTCTTGGGGCGTCTGGATGGCTCAGTCAGTTGAGCAACAGACTCTTGGTTTTCACCTCAGGTTGTGATATCAGGGTCATGAAATTGAGCCTTGTGTCAGGCTCGAGCTCCGTGCAAAGTCTGCTTAAGTTCCTCTCTCCCTCTCCCTCCACCCCTCCCCACTACGCACACTATCTCTCAAATAAATAAATAAATCTTTAAAAAATACAAAAAATTAAAATTCTTTCATTTTACTTTTCAAACTTATTCTCATCTCTGATCACAGTTGATTTTTTGACATCCTGTGAGGTGAAAAATATATCCTAAAGTGGGTTTCTTCAGAAATTATATGGAAATAAGTATGCTATGTGAAAACTGTTTCAGTGATGGCTAAACACAAACAAATCTCATTCAAAGTTACTAATATATTGCATTGCACTGTGGTTCTCTTATAAGAAGACACAGTGGTATTTCCCACAGGACTTGATCAAGGAGCAGCACTGTATAAAGCCACTCATAGGACTGGGGCTCTACAGAACACACGTTGGGAAAAGCTATGGTAGACTCTGAGTTCAGAGTAAGCAAAGACCATTTTCAGTCACTAGTGCAAAATCCAGAACGCAGCAGACTGACTGGCTCAGTACATGCCAGTGGACAGAGAGATTGATTGACTAAATCATTTTGTTGTTGTTTCGCCCTGAAGGGCAGCAGGGAGGTAATGGAGCAGAGTGGCTGGACTGACATCAATTCACCCCAGTGGTTGGTAACAGCTCTGACTGGGTCTCCTGACTTCCCTTCTCATTATGGATACTGAGGGCTGCGGCTGCACACAGACTGACGCACTTGCTCCCTCTTCTCATCAGGGAACCCCCATGAGGTGGCCAGCCTCAGCTTGACAGAGGCTGGAAAAACTTCCCTTAGGACAATGAGGGACTGTTCACAACTTCCCAGCTGCCCGCCCACCCATGAGAGCCCCAGCTCTGGGCAGCCACAGCCCTTCCCTACCCAGAAAGGATGGACAACGGGTCTACCCATAACTTACTTCCCCCAGAGGACACACCCAATCAGAGGTTCAGATACTCACCGGAAGCACAGCGCCCCACTCAGGACCATCCTTAGCTTCACAGTGTGTAGACTCTTATTCTGAAATAACACAAAATCTTAGGTGGACATAGAGACTAAGCTGGCAGGGGCCTGGGTAGCAAACAGCCTTCTGACCCCGCCCACAGTATGTGAACATCCCCCACAGAACAGAGGGTTCTAGAGGTGGGGAGAGCCTCAATCCTGCTGGAAAGAATGAAACCCAGCTCCCCAAAGGACACCTCAGAATGCTCCTTTCTCCTGGCAGAGCCTGTGTATCTGCCCATTCCTCTGGGATGCCTCAGCCCTTTTAATAATGCACTAGGGAGGAGCCCCTGAAACTGCCAGAAGCTGAGGAGGAGCAGGGTTTCCCAGGTATTTCACACCACCCTAAGCCTCTGGAAACACCTACTGTTCATTACCTCTCCCAGGGAAGGAAGGTTCTGCAGATAGCATTCTTTCAGCAATTCTGATGAATTTCCAAGGGGCTTTCCAGCTCTTCAAGAGCACTCAGCTCCCAGACCTTAGACACTTCCAGACCCAAAGGCTTCAATGCAAATAGCCCCTCAAGGAAAGTAGATTTCAGAACAAATTCTCCCTTTCTCCTCCCTTCTTCTCTTCCTTCTGTCCTTCCTTCCTTTGCCAGGCCTATGGAAAATGCCAGAGGTGGGGCTTTCCTGCTCAGGCAATGTTTTAGTCTACATTTTCATTGGAGAAAAAACCTGAAAATCCAGATTGGAAAAAAAAAATCCATGAAAACTTGTCTTCTAAAAAAAAAAAAAGAAAGAAAAGAAAACTTGTCTTCTTTGAGTGTACCATCAGAAAAACCAATGACATTTTTCCTCTGTGTACATATACATGTGACTGTCAACCCTGTCTCCCACAACTGTGTCATAGAGCCTACACTCTATTCAACGTGCTTTTTTTCATGTAGCAAAATAGAAGAATATCTTTCCATACCGAATATGAATTATGGCATAACATTGAATAGCTGCACACATTTCACTGTATAGACACATTTATTTATAATGATCAATTATCTATAGTCTATTATTATTTGCTATTGAAAATCATGTGATGACAAACATCTTTGTATCAACCTCTTCACTCATGTGTCTGATTATTTCCTTAGAAAATAAAATCTAGTCCATGCCACCTGTACTCAATCCTTCTCCAATACCTAACTGGCAAAAAAATATGTGACTGGGAAAAAATTCATGTGGTTTCAATACCTCCATACAGTCTCTGTGATGGAGCTGAATTAAAGTTAGAGGGCAGTGCATAATAACAATTTAACGACCAACAATTTAATGACTGATAGCCATTTATTGTTAAGGTACAAATTTTAAAGAAATTGTGTTCCAGCTTATAGGTTAAAAAGTCCTTAAAGCATTCAAAAATAAATAAAATATTGAGGTTTTCTAATGTGATAAACACCTTTCAGAGAACTTTAAAATATAGAGGCTACATTATGCAAAATCATTAAATTGGCCAAATGGAAATGACACTGAAAATAACTACAAAAAGGAACAAAATGAAAAAGAAATACCAGAAGGTGTTGGCCTATAGACAGAGTGGTTTGTTTGTTTAAGATTTTACATATTTATTTGAGAGGGATTGAAAGAGAGATGGGCAGCCTGGGTGGCTCAGAGGTTTGGCACCTGCCTTCAGCCCAAGACATAATCCTGGAGACCCGGGATCAAGTCCCACATCGGGCTCCCTGTGTGGAGCCTGCTTCTCCCTCTGCCTGTGTCTCTGCCTCTGTGTGTGTGTGTGTGTGTGTGTGTGTCTCATGAATAAATAAATAAAATCTTTAAAAAAATGAAAGAGAAAGAACACATGAGTGTTGGGTGAGGAGGGGCAGAGGGAGGGAATCTTCAAGCAGACCCCTGGCTGAGCCCAGAGCCCAACTGACCAGGAGCTCTAACAAACACTCATGAGATAACAACTTGAGCCAAAACCAAGAGTCACACACTCAACCGACTGCACTGCCCAGGCACCCCAAAAGTGGTTTTAAGCAGACCGACTTTCATTTGTAAAGCGATTCTAGAGAAAATACATATTGTTTCACTGGAAAAGGCTGCCCTCTCTGATCCCCCGACCTCAGTGATTTGCACCCACGTGCCTACAGGACACATCTGTGGGGTTTCAGAAGCTCTGTCCTCATTCTAAGATAGAATGATACCAGCGCATGGCTTCCCCTCTCCAAATGGGGCGGCTTGCTGAGGGTACAGGGGGCTATGTCTGCCAGCTTCGTCTCCCCTGCAATGTGCTTCATGGTGATGGGTACAGGATGAATGGATAGAGAGGTGAATATGAGCTAAGACGATGCAAGTGACAAAAATAAAATGAATGCCATGAAGAAAGTTAAGTTCTTCAAACTTGAAAATAAGACAAAATGGTGACCACATGTGTTTCCAATATCACACTAGAATATGGTCAAACAGGCCCACCAGCGATTACTCAATTCTCTAGGAAACAGATGTCTTTGGCTTATTGATGACTATGGATTAGATACAGACTCTGTGAAGTTAGGTGTGAACTAAGAGGAAATTGATAAATTGCAAATCATTTCTGCCTGATACTAAAGATGGCCCTAGAGGGTGCAGTTTTATTGCCTTGCAATTCATTAAGCAGGATGTTGTTGTTGTTGTTTTAAATCTAAGTCAGCCAACCCATTCCACCATTTATTTCCTGACTGATCATGTCTTTTGAATCAGTTTTATCATCCTGCTAGTTCCTTCACTTATTAATAATGATAAATCCTTGGCACATGCTCACTCTGTGTTTGTGTGAGAGTTGTGTTTTGGACTTTTTTGAAAATTGAACTGATGCTACTTAAGATATGTTATTTTGCCCCAAGACATACATCCTGTGTGATGGTTTTAAAATCTGTCCACAAATTCTTTGATACTCTACCATTTAAGAGGCGGAGCTTAGTTTTCCTTTGAGTGTGGGCTGGGCTTCGTGGCTTACTTCTAAAGAATATACTACCTGGTGGAAGTGGCAGGGTGCCACATCCTGATCTCTCCTGGCTCTCTCTCCGCTGGGGGAAGCCAACTGCCATGTCAGAAGGACACTCAAGCAGCCTATGAAGAGCCCTGCCTGGTGGGGACCTGAGGCCTCCTGACAACAGCTATGTGTGAGCAGTCTTAGAAACAGGCCCTACAGCTCCACTCCAGCCTTCTGATGAGGAAGCCTGTGACATCTTGACTATAACTTCATGAGAAGTCCTGAGCCAGACCACCCAGTAAATGTCACCTTTCTGATTCCTTATTCTATGAAGCTGTGTGAAATAATGCTTGCTGTTGTAAGCTGTTGCTAAGTTTTGGAATAATTTGTTACACAGCAACAGGTAACTAACACACTTTGTCATCACCATGGGCAGTTTCTTCTCCTGTTCTCTTTTCATTCTCCTCAGGCTTCAGCTTGTAGCCTTCCTTCTTAGGAAATATCTCAATTCTTCATGGACTTTATATGACCATGGAGGTTGTTCCAAAAGCTGTGCCAGTCTGCAGAGGAGTAATGTCCCCCAAGGTGATTCTCACCACTTTTGTGAGAGTGGCAGTGCCCTAGAGGTGAGGGTGGCTCCTGCTCTTGCTGTAGAGATGAGGGAGGAAACGGTACAAGAGCACACACCTGTATCAATATTAAGCACATTCACAAGCAGTTTATTATAGTAAAATAGTAATTTTTTATTAGGCAGATAAATTGAATATAATTAAAATAATCAGTATTCTTTTGGTGTCCACTATGTTCCTAGAACTATGTATAATGGGTTTTTTTTCTATTTCATGAGAATTTTCTCATTTTATGCTCATAACTGCTCTATATGGTAAATGTTCTTATTATCCCTGTTTGATGGATGTGGACGCCAAGCATAGAAAGCTTAATTATGTTGCATAATATGGAACTAATAATCAGAACCAAATTGAGGAAACCTGAGTCTAAAGCTATGGACCCTAAGACACAACACAGCACCCAGAGGGATCCATTTATAATCTGCCTCAGTTCTTGTCACTCTTGTGCTCCCTGAGTCTCTGAAACTAAAAGGCAAGTCTCTGCCACGCTTGCAGGCCCCGCAAAACTAGGCTGACATTAATTCTTGACCCCATTCTTTTACCACACCATGCAGTACACTCAAGTCAAATGGACCTCTCGCTCATTCTTGAACAAGCCAGGCACAGTCCTGCCTTAGGGCGTTTGCACTGACTCTTCTCTCTGCCTAGGAACCTCTTCTCCAAGATAGGAGCATGGCTCACTCCTCACCTCTGTAAAGTCTTTGCTAAAATATTACCTTCTCCATAAGACCTATACTCACCATCCTATGCTTTCTTCTCCTACTGCCACATTTCTTTTACCATGCTCTATTTCTCTCCACAGCTCCCCACATCTGTTAACACACTGTATATATAATTCAGCTACGTGTTAGGTGTGTTATTTATCTGCTCCCCCACCCTATATTGCTGGAAGATAAGCTCATACAAGGGAGGGGTTTCCTGTCTACTTTGTTCATTAGTGTATTCCAAGCACTTAAGGTGATGCCTGGTATACAGTATATCTTTAATAAATAATATCGTACTAACACTGAATGAGTTGTATGCTGTAGCACATTGGAAAGGCCAGAGAATTGTCTCACATTTTGTTCGCAGCTATGACTCTTATTTCTCAGAGAGCTTTGATGCTTCTGGGTCCACATTCTCTTAATATAGCAGTTATGACCATAGTGCACACTCTCTGGCCAGTGGGCTAACATGGTCCCACTGTTTGTTTTCTAAACAATGCTTTATCGTAACCATGCTCATTTGTTTACGCAGTCTGTAGATCCTTCTGCGCTACAATGGCAAAGTTGAGTATCTGTGACAGAAACTGCATAGTTTGTAAAACCTAGGATATTTAATATACAGTCCTTTATAGAAAAAGCTTGCTGAACTCTGGTCACAACGATCCTGATTCAAGTTCTAAATCTGTCACTTATCAGCTTATGTCCTTAGTCAAGTTGTTTAAACTTTCTGCATTTTGGAGTTCTCATCTGTAAAATGGGAATTAAAAATAATACTTACTCAGGAGTGGTTGTTAAGATTAAAGGAGTTAATGTATGTGAGGTGTTTAGAGCCATACCTGGCACAAGTAAGTGCTTAAATGTCAGCTGTATCATCATCATCATCATCATCATCATCATCATTGGCCACATGGCCTGAGAGAATTTGCCTCATCTCTCTGATTTGATGATTCATCTCACCTCATTTGCATTTCTCTGTAAAGAAAGGAGGAACCACCACCTCACTGGACTGTCATGAGGATAGGTGAGACAGAGGCTGTG